AATATATCGCTATTGCTCCAGATCCTTATTTTTCGGCAGTTAAGCGTAGTTTGTCAGCGGAAGTGAGATGTCCTTTACACGTATGCTTGTAAGTCATCAGACGTGATTTCGAAGTGCTTGGGCTCTTCGCCTGGCTTTTTGATGATTGAGGCTACAGAACTATAGTTCCTACATTCAACAGCATGCATATATATATATATATATATATATATATATATATATATATATATATATATACATATATATGCATATTTGTACATATATATATATATACATATATATATATATATATATATATATATATATATATATTTGTATATATATATATATATTGTGCATTTGCATGTGGAAAAAAAAAACCGGCATGCAGTGCCTCGGACGTCCGATAACTGATCGCGAGCATCGTTTACCGAGTCGTGTTGTCTGTCCGACCATGGTTTCACTGCCCGCTAGTTTTGTTTTTTACAAAAGTAATCCCAAAATTAGATGCCCGCATCTTTCCCCTATTTTATACGAGCTTTCGAAAACCAACCCTTCAAAATATTTGGTAGGAGCTTTGGAGTTCCAAGCCATCTTTTCTTAACGCCGCTTGTTTCCCCCGAAGCTAAAATTCAGAGACGTAAGAGGCTTGTACGTGTGGTTGTCATGTCCTACCCACTTTGGGGGTCCCAGATCCGCCCGCCATCCTGGGTTTCAGCTTCCCCCAACTTTGAGAAGAAAGTGTACTATAGCTGAAACGAATTTGGATTTTTGGTGAGTTTTGGGGGCAAGTTTCATTACCGTTTGCTGCTCAGTCCCCTGCCCCACCGCTCAACGTACGGTGTGAATTTCCATGATTTTTTAAAGCTGCCCAGTATTTCGAAGTCGGGCGGACAGTCCGAATAAATGTCCCCAAATACCATCATATGAGTGACCGTTCCAATAACATCTGATAAATGCACGTGCATAACCGGCTACAGTGACACTGCCTCCAGGTCAGCCCCCTTCTCATCTCTTCCGAATCGATGGACTGGTTACACGGACTTGTCGCCTCACCCCATCCCCCCTGTGACCTTTCACCCGCCACATGGCACCGGCAGCCGTATTTACCTCGCCACCCGCGACAGTTGACGTCAACAGCACCCCTCCGGCGGGGAGGGGTCACCGAGAGGGGGGGGGGGTCGCCCGGGCCCGCGCAGATGCCGGCGACCAATGGCGGGGATCAGCGATGAGCTCGGTCAGTCACGTGGATCGCGACGCCGCGGCGTGCCGGCCGGTGACGTGACCGGGGCGTGGCGGTCAATTCTGCTTCGTTGTCGGGAGCGGTGTCTGCGGCGACAGTCACGCACTGGCGACAGAGCACGCGGGCAGGGACTCTTCCAGCGAAGTAAGCACGTCCTAAAATGTGGGTGGGTCAAACTCCTCATGGAGGTCATCCTTTACCAGGCATGACCGCTGGGTTGATGCAACACTTTTACGTGAGGAGATGGGCCATGGTCTACTTGGCGTCATGTCCGCGATGCGAACAGGGCACCTTGCTGGCTCAAAGCCAATAATGCACTTGCTGGATTGATGGAGCGATCACAAACAGACGTTGATCGACAGCTTAAAATTGGCTTCGGGGGGAGGGGGCGGGAAGAGAACGTGCATAGCTGCGTTGTGATCCAGCACCGAGTGGGGGCTTATTTTTACCAATTCAGGGTTATAGTTGCTTGTTGCATACGACAGCCTTTCACGAACTCCATGGAGTTCCGCAAGTGTCACGCATAACGCGACAGAACGAATAGGCGACGAATTGATGAAGCGCGTGCCACGGCATAATGGGGACCAACGACCAGCAGCTGCGATCAGCCGAGCCAGGCGTGCATGTGAATGATCGCAAGACAGCACAACAGAGCATATGTTGTGCTATTTGTTGATATGTCATGCTCTGTAGAACGTCAGCTCGCACCAGAGCGAAGCACGCCATGGCGCAATGTCAGTCAATGCGCGCCATTCTCACAGTGCCGTCCATCAAGACCTTCACGCACCAACGTGGGTGCGCGATCAAGAGCCAGCCCATGGGCCATCGAGATCATGGTTTATTCCAAACGAGGAAAAAATCTGGTCTGTACTCCTTTTTATTGATTTAAATGCAGTTGATGACGACCTTTTAACTTGGCCATTACACAACTGACCTTGGGCATTTTCTAAGATCTGATGCTGGTTTCTTTACGCGTGGTCACAGACATGTTTGCACGAACTTCAAACAAATACCTTTCGCAATCAGCCGCTGTCTGCGGCATGAAAACGTCTCGATGTCTGGGTGAAAATCTGGGCTGTCCAGACACCAGGCATCAGAGGTCGTGTAACTTACAAGGTGGGCCGGTTCTCGTTCTCGATATACCACACCACGGATGCAGTTTATTTCCATTTTGGTTTTGGTCTTTTCCTTTTCATCGTCGCTGTGGTTTTCTCGCCAGGGATAACTCCCACTTCTCCGCCATCAGCAGTATACTTATTCGCACAAACGACGCACTGAACAGGTAAAAACAACACTACACGAACGGGAAGGAAGGTACGCCCAGCTATTCCGCACTTGGGTGTGCCCCTGCCACCATGCTATTACCACGTCGTCCGGCAAAAACTAGCATTTGTTTCCTGGACCAGCACACGTCTGATTTGCGTTTCAATGGCCATTGTGTCACCTAGCCGTCATCAGCTTTGATGCCAGCGTCGCCCGTGTCTGCGACACGCCTAGCTTGGGTCACGTCCCTCGTACAGAGCGTGGCGTCTAGTCACTGGGCCGTGACATGGCGGAGGACAGGGCCCGAAAGACGACTGATGTTATTCACTGAAAAGGTCGCCTGTTTTGGTAGGCGACGGCCGGAAAAAAAAACACGTTTTTCTCGCTTTCACAAAGAGCTGTAAGCAGTGACCAAAAAACTAGGGTAGCATCTATCGGGTGATAGGTTCAAGGTGCATGTAAAAAACATGTATTGTTTGGCGCATGCAGCCATCGAGGTCATGCGCAAAGACCATTGTTACCAGTCGAGCAATATGGATCCCGCAGAAAACATTTAATTAATCTCAGCAGAAATAGAGTGATCAGAACTCAACAGATACCACAAATCAAATCAAATCAAACTATTTTTGTCAGCCCTCACGTCTAGACAGACGAATAGCCTGAAAGCCCGTACCAATAGCGGACACAAACGGGACCTGATGGGACGCGTCATTCGTATTCATCCGCCGCCTTCCTTTTAAGACGGCTCACTGCGGCGCTCCCAGGTGACTCTTGTCATCGATTTCTCCCGCTCCTGTTGGTGTTCCCGCCGCCGGCCTCCCGTGGGATGCCGCTCGACTCAACTGGGGGCAACACCTCGAACCACTCGTCCACCGCGTCAGGGTCCCGGAAAAAAATACAGTGAACTCTGTGGGTTCCGCCGCCCCGGCAGCCAGCCTCGCAAAGTCAACTGGCGGTGTCCCCCCAATGCCCTGAGTTAACGATGGACAAACACGCCCCAGTTTGGTACTCACGGTTGCGTCATCGTTTTCGTTTCCGAGGGTCACAGCTGACGCCAAGCAAAGACAATAATTAATGGCGGTTAGAATGCGCTGCGAGCGTGGATGCTGCAAACGGAAAGCGAGGAGAGATCCAAAGGCACTTGAAGTGAGGAGTGAGATGCACTTGGATTCGAGAGTAACGCTCTCGAGAGAATCGCGGTAAGAGGAACGAGAGTAACGCAGCGCGACCTCTGGCGCACATCGTTCTTCATTTTCCTGGCTAACCCAACATTTCACTTCGAAATAGGAATTCATGTTTCTGATCCGTTGTCCCATTAATTCTGGTGCAGACACAAGGCTTTTAAGATTATACAACAACATTCTGGGCAAATTGAATTGTCATCTGAGAAGGCGTCTCCTATGCAGCACCGTTGGCGATACGTTTGCGTCTGGTTTCATCCCTGCCTTGTTTGTGCGCGCTGAAAAGCTTCAGTCCTGGATCTTAGACGCTTTGCGCTTCATGAACATTTTCCAAGGTGCTTCGTTATTTGCCAAAAATTGAACTGCAGCGGCCAACTACGGTCATGTATTGTCTTACAACACTTGACGTTTAAATGTTATCGTGTCGTTCCCGCCACGTCATGTTGACAATTCCGTCATCTGAGTTCAATACGGAAGCTCTGTGTCTACTTCCATGAAGAGAATGTGTTACGGCACAGTACGTTATTATGACCATGGCTAGGACAGAAACATGTTATCCATGAGCGCCTGCATGCTTGATTGCGCTAGGATCCGTGCCGGGGCGGGGAAGCATTAGCGCCATCTGCACACTTGTTCTCATCAGCAGCGACATCGCACGGACGTGCCCGCAACTAACGAGACGCCGCGCTAGTGGGCCGGGAGTACACAGGATTCGAGTTGTGAGTTATGGCACGTGTTTGCGCACATGTTGGGTGTGTGCCATCGTTGATCGATTACTGAGGATGATTTTTAAAACCAGGTCAGCTTGACATTCACGCGGCCAGGCTACAGTGACATCACAGCCGTACGGTCACACGGCTAGGTCATAATGCTTGAACTGGAGAGCCACGCGGTTACCACGGAGACCAGTAGGCTCTGGTGATCTACCAGAGATAACTACGATAACAGATAACTATGATAACAGACAAGATATGACTGGCACGGCGGAAATATCATGCGATTTGTGTCCTCCGTCACGTTTAGACGTGTTTCCTCTTACTTTGTCCAGTGCGGACATGAGTGGAGAGTGGAGATCGCAGGTACGGCCTCAGGCGTGGCGACGGTCACACTAACGTTGATGAACATTGGCCTAAGATCGCGATTCCAACTTGCGAGACGTGCATTTCCGCACCTTTGCCACATCCACGTTCATAGGATTCCCCTCTCGTGTGTGTAGTCCAGACGATCTACCCATTCAGGAGGATCCCCAATCCTTCAGATATGTAACCACCTGTGTCCGCCGCAGTGGCCGCTGAGGTCCACCTCGGCTGACCCGGCGCCGGTGCCGTCCGCAGGTCGCAGGCGGAGCTGGGCCGCGAGGGGCGCGGCGGGCTGCTGCTCTCCCTGCAGGAGCTGCTGGAGTGGGTCATCAGGAAGGAGACGGAGCTCAATCAGCTGGAGCCGCTCCGCGCGGACGCAGCGGCGCTCCAGCAGCAGCAGGTCGGTAGCCGGGGCAGCGGCCAGTGGCCCCAGCCGGGGCCTGACCACTGCTGCGGCGGGACACCGACAGTTGCCCCGCTGCAGCCGGGGCAGCGGCCAGTGGCACCAGCCGGGGCCTCCGCGGCTGCGGTGGGACACTGACTGCTGCCCTGCTGCAGCCGGGGCAGCGGCCAGTGGCACCAGCCGGGGCCTCCGCGGCTGCGGTGGGACACTGACAGCTGCCCTGCTGCAGCCGGGCAGCGGCCAGCGCCGTCGCGCCACGACAGACGACGCGGCTCGGAATATTCGGCCGCTCTGTCAGCTGATTGTGTGCGGAATGTCTCGCCGCTGCGCCAGCTGATTTTACGCAGTGTTTAGCCGTTTGTGGCGAGTTCGTGTTTGTTCGGGTCGTTGGGTTCGATTGAGCTGCTTTTGTAAACGAACAAGGGACTGGAGTTTGTTTGTGGTTTCAAACGGGACGTCGAAATGGTTGAGTCAAGGTGCATCTTAAGAATGTTGTTCTTTCGGTTACACTTTTGCCTGCTAGCATGCTGCAACTGTGAATCAGCGAACATAAATCAATTAATTCAGATTGTGGGGTCATGCGATGCCATTTGGATATAGCAGAAATATCAGTACCACGACACATACAATCGACGCAAATTATCATCCAAGCTATCCACTTTCTGAATGCCGATAGAAATTGTTTGGGATTCGGGTGTAATTTCGCAAAATAGACTGTTTTGGGAGGACCGAGCGGAGGAAAACTGCAAAATCTAACCCAACTTGTGGCAGTAGCAAAAAAGATGCATATCTCTGGAGCTGGCCCACTTTTCTCTCCAAGCTGGGATGCTGCGTGTTTCTGCTGTAATGGCTGCGGATCACAGCGTTCGCTCTCGCGCAGGAGGATACCCGCTCTCTGCTGCGTGTTTCTGCTATAATGGCTGCGAATCACAGCGTTCGCTCTTGCGCAGGAGGATGCCCGCTCTCTGCTGAGCCAGCTGTCGGACCGCCAGGCGCTCATCAGTAGCAAGCTGAGCGCCGCCAGAGCGGTCAGCTCCGAGCCTGCCTTACACTGCGAGGCCAGCGATACTGAAGGTACGGCTCACATGTGATAGGGAGAGCTTTGAGCCCGCCCTCCACTGCGAGGCCAACGACAGTGAAGGTATGCCCCATTGTAGGCAGGGAGAGCTCTCAGCCCGCCCTCCACTGCGAGACTAGCGACACCGAAGGTGTGGCTCACATTGGGCACGGAGAGCTCCGAACCCTCCCCCCCCCCCCCCCCCCGCCCTTCACTGCAAGGCCAGCAACACCGATGGTATGGCTCACAGTGGGCAGGGATAGCGCTGAACCCACCATCCACTGCGAGTCTAGCGACAGCGAAGGTATGGGTCACTCTAGGCAGGGAGAGGTGTGTCCGTCCCTGGTGACAGCTGAGGCACCTGCCAGGGCGTGTCCACCATGATTTGCCGCCCTGGGACAGATGAATGGCCAGGCGATTGATTCTGAAGACTAGCTTAAGCCCCGGGGTACAACACGATTATCTGGGGCCCAAATCGTATGAACGGTTGTATGATCCCGGCTGCCGCCTGGAAGTGCACAGGATTCCAGTAGGTCACGCCCTACTTTTTGACTACGCTCGTAGTCCGTAGTGGGGGCAGTCCGTGGAAGTTCGTAGTCCGTAGTAGTTCGTAGCTACAGTGGGGGCAGTGAAGATCCCTCCTGATCTAGTTGCAAGACAGCAACGTCCCAGCATAAGGTGCCTCCGGCCAGCGACGCCGAGGATACCTTACTCTCTGACTTATTTTAGCAGTCACCACGTAACGAAGCCAGCGTGCCCGTAACTACCACGTCTATGCCTTATCCATGGACGTGGCGGGTGTCACGTGTCACGTGCGACACGTCACGTGTCACGTATCACACACGTGCTGCGTCACGTGTCACGTGTCACATCACATGTCGCGTCACATCCCGCGTCTCGTCACGTCACGTGTCACGTGTCACGCGCTCCCAAGTGGGCGTGTTCTTCCGACAGGCGACTAGCCTATCGTGTCCCTCTCTCGCCGCTGCTGCGCCGGTCTGGCGCGTCGGGCGATTGGCGCGCGCTGAGCTGACCTGTGACCACAGGCCGTGATGGGCGATTGGCGCGCGCTGAGCTAACCCGTGTCCACAGGCCGTGATGGGCGATTGGCGCGCGCTGAGCTGACCCGTGTCCACAAGCCGTGATGGGCGATTGGCGTGCCCTGAGCTGACCCGTGTCCACAAGCCGTGATGGGCGATTGGCGTACCCTGAGCTGACCCGTGTCCACAGGCCGTGGTGGGCGATTGGCGTGTCCTGAGCCGACCCGTGTCCACAGGCCGCGATGAGCGATTGGCTTGCCCCGAGCCGCCCCGTGTCCACAGGCTGTGGTGGGCGATTGGCGCGCGCTGAGCTGACCCGTGTCCACAGGTCGAGGCGAGCGCGATGGCTACGGCCGGGAGCGTCGCTCCGAGCTGGACCAGAGTCTGGAGCAGGCGAGGGCTATCGGTCGGGAGGCGGCCAAGCTACAGGACAAGTGGCGAGAGCTCGGCCGACGCGCCGAACTCTTCCGACGACGCGCTGACTCGGCCCTGGCGGTGAGCTGCGGAACTAAACCATTCGCCAGCGCTGACGGGGAGACGAGGAGCGGGCGTGAATGGTGCGATACCGGGTCCAGAACTGGGACGTTGGTTCGAATCCCGCGCACTGCTCGAACATTTCACCGGTTCTGTCGTGGGATTGGACGTGAGAGGTTGCAGTGTTAGTGATCCTAACCGTCACATGTGCCGCTGGACCATCTAGCAGATTATCTCTGGTGGTCAGCTGTCGAAAAGAGCGAAAGGGCTGAAATGAGTGACTGTCCTTTTACCAGCCGTTGGCGTAATAGTAATTCTTTGCAAAGGTCGGCGTTCAGTATACGTACCAGAAGATATTGGTTAAACAACTTATCAGATCATACATTGTATACATTGTGAGAAAACGTGACGTCTGATGGTAGCGCTTGTAACCATCAGCGTCACCATGAAACGTCCATTTTTCTCCATACCTATCGCTGCTTGATAACCTGGCATTCACTTACTATGGAATGTCGGCCACTTTTACTATGAAAACTTACGAGTCGAAACAAATAGGATCTGGAGGTCTTCCTCGCGCATATCCGGTATAGCTATTTATTGAGCTGCGATTACGAACTAATGCGCATTTTACCCGGTGTGTAGTTCCCGAGCGAAGCGGAGCTGTATAGGGCAAGGTCATTACCGCGCAGGCTCAGATGGTCTTTCGTAACTGGGCGTATTGACACACAATCTGGACACAATTGGACGCTGCAGCAATGGCATCCGCCGCCGCCGTGGCTGCTTACTCACTGCACTGAGCAGCAGGTGCAGGGCTCTCCGGTAATGACGTTGCCAGTCCGGGGTTGCTGAGTTAGGGTCATGTCGCACGCAGGGCAGCGTCAGGGCATACCACACGCACGGCCCGAGCGCGCGGCTCTGCATGATCCAAGTCCGTACTATGAGGGATGAGCCCAGTGATCCACGCTGAGTTCTGTCCGATGTGTGCCCAGGCAAAATAAGTTGAACGTTTGAGTTGCTGATCATGAAAGGTTTTACAGGGTGAGAAGCCACAGCACGGCAGTTTTTAGATGTGCATTTCAGCGAAACGATTCAGTGAACGAAACGAAGTGATGAACTAATACAGGAAAGTCCATGCCGTGCAAAATGTTGCTGAAGCTACTCCTCGTCACACTAAAGCCTGTGAAGTGGCCCCAGGGCCGCCTAGGAGGGTATCAGAGCGGTAGCGATGTTGCTCTCTGGAGTGGTGTTGACAGGATCCTCGATCTCGTCCTCAAGGGACATTTTCTGTGGAGTCATGATTTGACGAATGCAGATCACGTCTGACTACCATTGCTTTTTATCACGCGTTACCATTGAGTGGTTATTGAATACTACCGCTGTCTTGGTTGTGCGAGAAATACTTTCGTCACCGCTGAGTAAAACGTGAGTTAACTTTTACTTGGGGCACTTTGTGAAAACGGTAGCTTCACACAGACACAGTCTGTTTGCTTTCCTGGCGCGGACGCTGCCACCGGCCGTAGGCTGTGCCAGTAAAGGGGAAAAGCGCACGACTAAAGCGACTCGAACCCACCCCGCCGCAGGTCTGTGAATCAGAATGCAGGCGTTCTAACCAGCCGATCTATCGGAACGGATTGAACTGCTCTGCTGGGCAGGGACGATTTAAAGTACAGTTCGGTGCTGTATCTTCCGCCAGTTTGTACCACAAAAAGAGTGTCAAGGATTGGAATGTAAACATTTTGTGCGGTTCTGTTCCAGAGCAAAAGAAATGTTGGGATGGTGTTGATCACCTTTTGCGAATATATCTGGCCATGTGCACAGCTTCGAAACCTACAGTTTCCTCCGTATGACCAATGCCTCTTTGATGACATTGCGTTATCACAACCCTCTGGTATGCGCAAGATTTATTAATTTCAGCATGCAAACTCCCAACTCATCATCCCCGAAGCATAAAGATTCACAACCCTTCTTGCTTATATCAACTTCCGGCATATGTCAAAGCGTTGGTCGCGACATTTTTTAAGACGGCCGCTGCGGAGACGCATCCGGTCGCCAGCATCAACCCAAATGGTCTTCATAATTATTAACATGTTTCTTGAGAAGGTCGTGTAAAATAAGTTTATGTTTAGATATGTAATGCTCAAACATATAGTGCTTTGATACACATGATATTTAGTTACATCGTGGCAGTGCACTCAAAATTTCTATATGCTCTCGTCCGTACGTGCCGGACCACGCCATTTCCCACCGTACTGTCTTTTGCGCCTGGAGCCACCTTCGATCAACGATGGACGACACGTATGTTCGTTGATCACAATGGCTCGAGTTTCTCAGATGTTTTTGTTCTGTAATTCATGCACCATTTAAACCATTCAAAAAATGTAATTTCACATCGCTCTGAAATGTGAAGTCACACCTGCGCAACCATATTAAAGTCATCATCCATGAAATATCATTTAAGAGTTATTCTATTCCATTATCGGAGACGTAAACCAAAGTGGCCGAAATCCGGGAACAAATCAGGTTCTGGGATAGGTTGGATTAACATTATCGGTTCATTTCCCCGCAGCCGATTTTTCAAAAGAAGCGCTCCTGTAATAACGCTGATTGGAAACATATGCGATTTTTGGGTTTTGCCACTGACGGTACTCGAGTTGTAGGGGCCGCTTCAGAATTTGTGGATGTTGTTTTCAAAGTCCAGGCCAACATGCAACAGATAAGTATATCTTAGCACCCAAGCCGTGCACACTTACGAAGCCGTTTCACTCCTATCCTGAGGGCCGCACCAGCCTCTCCTTTTCTGGTGCCTCCGAAACGCGCCACAATACCGTTCCAGCTCCTCGGCACTGATAGACTATTTTTCACTTTTTGCTCGCTTGAGTTTTGGGAGAATGGAAAAGTCGCCGGGGCCAGGTCAGGCGAAGAGAGCGGGTGTTGGGTAGTGGGGATTTCACATCCTCTCAAAAGCGTCGCCGTCTCACACGACGGCGACGTGAGGTCGTACGTTGTCGTGATGGGGCTGAAATCTGTGGCCTCGCTTGGATAGTGTTTTTTTGGCATGGCTCCAATAATCTTCTTCAGTGCGAGGAGTACTATGTGGAGTTAATCGTCTTATCCCGGGAAGGACGTCGATGCTGATTGTGCTGTCTGTGTCGCAGAACACCGTACACATGGCCATCCCACCCCGCGCGCCAGCGCAATATGATTGTAGCGGTGGGCGCGACCAACCCCCCAATCGCTACAACCCCCGCCCATGTGTCTGAGCTTGGGCTGGGGTGAGGTCCTCTCGTCGGATTTATTTTACTCCTTGCTCTTGTTTTCGGCCAGCGGGCCGCAGAAATGCGCCCGCGTCTCATCAGAAGTGACTGTTAAGTCCGGAACCTGTTTGTAGCCAGCTTCGTACTGATCAAGCACTCCTGCGCAGCCTCTGCGCGTGCATTCTTCTGCTCTTGTCGGAAGCAGTGCAGCACCCATTCACAGCACACATGCGAGTACCCGAGTAGCTTCACGGCCCGGCAGATTGTGGACTGTGCCGGCGTTGACGAGGTTGCTAATGTTTTGTAGGCTACTCCACCGCTCCTCCGAAATCATCTGCCCTCAGAAGCGCTCGTCGTCAGCCGCGCGCGCATGCGTTGGCACCCGTTTTTGGGGTTTGTTCTAGGCGTTTGTTTGCCCCTTCTTATCACGATTTGTCCCTTGTTGGTATTTGTTCGAGGCGTTCGTTTGCCACTGTCTGCCGCTTGCCCAGCGGCATATGGTCCGCAAAGAAGCTGCACTGTGCCAGTAAGCATGTTTCCGAAAACTGGTGCGTGTTAGCTTAAATATATATATATATATATATATATATATATATATATATATATGTGTGTGTGTGTGTGTGTGTGTGTGTGTTGTTGAATGTATCCTACTGAACATGGAGCAAGTAGGTCGAGGCGACTTCGAATCACACATGGGTAACACTGCTGCAAAAGAAACGAGAAAATTGCGCCACAAGTGGCATTGCAGACTCATCATCGGTTTATTTTCTAATGATATTTCTTGCGCCGCTGCTATGTCCTGGTCTGGCTCAACAACCCACGAACCGCTACGGCCAAAGGCGTAGTTTTGCAAATTTAGTTGGAGCTACTGAGCAAGACAAAATGCCTTAGTCTACCCCAGAGTAGTCAAAACCGTATTTATCCACAGACATGGCTCACTTTATTTCCAAAATGTGAATGCTGAAGTCCAGTCCTGTAACGTCTTTTTTGCATTTTGAGGGCAGGGTGTTGCTATTTCTCCCGCTTATCCCTAATCTTGTTTGTGAAAACACACCCCTGCCACAACTGAACAGGAAATACACTCCTGACGATGGGAGTGTCCCCTGGGGCGGAGAACGGAGCTGAAGACGGTGCTCAGGATCTGGTGAACGCGAACTCCTGACGATGGGAGTGTCCCCTGGGGCGGAGAACGGAGCTGAAGACGGTGCTCAGGATCTGGTGAACGCGAACTCCTGACGATGGGAGTGTCGGAGCTGAAGACGGTGCTCAGGATCTGGTGAACGCGAATTCCTGACGATGGGAGTGTCCACTGGGGCGGAGAACGGAGCTGAAGACGGTGCTCAGGATCCGGGGAACGCGAAATCCTGACGATGGGAGTGTCCACTGGGGCGGAGAACGGAGCTGAAGACGGTGCTCAGGATCTGGTGAACGCAGCGAACTCCTGGCGATGGGAGTGTCCCCTGGGGCGGAGAACGGAGCTGAAGACGGTGCTCAGGATCTGGCGAACGCAGCGCAGGCGGTGCTCAGCTGGCAACCAAGCACTCACGCAAGGAGACCTGCACTGGGCCGTAGGGGTATCACCACCAGCCAGCGGTCATGTTCCGGAAACGAGGGCGGGGGCGGTGAGCCATGTGTGCGCCAATGTTTGGTGCAGGATTCGGTGGCCAGAAACTTGGCGTTTGATTTCAGTGGCGGTGATGGCCCTGCGGACGGGGCTGGGAGATGGCCACGGCTTGTTTGCGTTGGCCCCCATGTTGCACTTACGCATGTGGGACGACGTCTTGGAGTCGCCATGTCTGAGAATTTGTACTGACATGTAATAACAAAGCAGGAAGCTGGGCTAACAACTTGCCGCATCTGAGCAGTACGGCCTGCGACCGCCATTGCTGTTGCTGTCATCTGGCCTGGAAAATCGCACTGCTGTTATCTGTTCGCATCTGCGGGGCCTTGAAAAAGCGCGGCCGTACTGCAGCGGCAGCACAGCTGGCTATGCGGTCCTCCACCGGGCCGACGCCTCGCGCCGGCGGCGCCTCAGTCGCCGAACGACGCGCGGCCGGCGCGCGCACCGCCTCCGGGCAGGCGGCGAGCGTCACCTTTGACCCGCGCGCGCGCGGTTGCGACTCCGAGTACGCCGCCGGCGACGGTGCCACGCGTCGCCGCGGGAGCTCGTGGCCTCGCGACGTTTGTGGCGTGGTGCGGGTGTGAGCGTGGTCACGTGACAGAGCCGGCGTTGCCATGGCAGCGCGGCCGGTCCGCCCGATCACCTGGACGCCGCCGGCGGCGCTGCGCCCGGTCTCTGAGCCGCCGCGGCTGACCCCGCCGCCGCCGCCGCCGCCGGACGCCGTCTCCGGCTACGCCGAGCTGTGCTGCGAGCGGCGGGCGGCGCGCTCGCCGCTGCTGCTGCCGCGACGTCGGCTCTCGGGACCCCCCGGCCGACCGCCGCCGCCGCCCTGGCGTGCGGCTGCCGGTGCCGTGTCCCCCGCCCCCCGTAGGGACGTTGACGCCATCTGGCTGACGGAGGTGCGTGGGGCGAGCCGCTCGGACGGCCGGCCCGCCGGACGGTGAGACCTGTCACCGACTCAGTGATGAATGATGTGTGCTGCAATATGCCCGTTGCTCCTGCGTGCGAGATCCAGAGGAGGCAGCCGTCTGTCCGCCCAATCAGTCTGTTCATCGCGCGTTTAATGTTTGACATCCACACACGCACGGGGGGTGATGTTAAATTCGGTGACACGACTCAGGCTGCGGGACCCCTCCACAGGCCACCGGTTGTGGGAGCACATATATATGAAGAAAGGTTACGTATCGGTCATTGTTATGAGACGTCAGTTCTGGTGTCCGCGAGGGAAAGAACCTCGCCGTACCTGTTGACAGCGCAGCGAAAGCGCATTTTTGCTTCATGTAAATGCGATGAGCATGCCGTTTTGTCCAACCAAAAATTGTGTCCAACATCCATACAAAGCACCAGCGTCCGCCGCCTCTGGCCGGGTCCCCCGCGCTGTCCGGCCCACCTCTGACCGGGTCCCACGCGCGCCTCGCGCCGTCCGGGCCGCCTCTGGCCGGGTCCCCCGCGCTGTCCGGCCGCCTCTGCCCGGGTCCCCCGCGCTGTCCGAGCTGTCTGGCCGGCTTCCCCTCGCCGTCGCAGACCATCTGCAGACGGATCTGGCTGCTGTCCATCACTCGGTGCCGGCCTCGGAGCCGGCGGTCTGACCCGCCCAATTTGTTTGGTTTATGCCGAGCTGGACCGCTGGTCGAACCGGACATATTGACACCCCACTATCGGGGCAACAAGGCCGCGCCCCTCTTTCCCCTCCCTCGATCCCACCCCCACACCCACCCTGACCCTCACCCTCGACGCGTGCAAGGATCGCTCCAGTCTTGTCGCCGTCAGAGGTCTGATGGGCTCCGCCACCTCTGATTGCTGCCGGTGTGCGCGGGTGGCCTGCGTTGCTATCGGCGCGGACGGTGGTGACGGTGGCGCGTGCGGCCCCATTCCACGAGAGACGCCGGCGCCGTGAAGCGACGGTGCGCGGCGCTCTCCGGCGCCATGTGGTGCACCGGAGCCGCGGTGATGAGACGGCCCCTGATATATGGCGCCGCCTCGCCGACCAAAAGCAAACAGATGTCGCCGGCCGCCTCCAAAAACATGCCGTTGACTTGATGACTCGGTTGAAAAAACACGCCGTGAATGGACGACCACGGACGGAAACCCGGCGGTTCCTAAACACTGGCGTTGGAGGCGCGCGGCTCGCGCGGGATGGTGGTCTCCCATTCTTCGCAGAGGATCGGATTTTTAATGAGAGGTTTCTTTTGTCTTCCTGGTGGCTTGAGTGCGGCCCCGGGGGTAAGGCGCAGATTGTATCAAAGGCAGAGCGACGACGGGAAGTTTGTCAGCGCGTGGTTTTCATTGGCACTCCTTGGTGCTTTGTCTTCGCATCGTGCCTACTTTCTTATTTATTCGGCACGCTGCTTTCTTATTTACTCGGCACGCCGCTTTCTTACGTATTCGGCACCCTGCTTTCTCATCTACTCGGCACGCTGCTTTCTATTCATGTGCATCGCATTGCATCCAGCGCTCTCTGCCCTATGCTCTTTATGGATGGAGAACTATGATTTTGCGGCGGAATGTGATTTCAAGATCATTGGTCTTGAACTGATGAGTCTGCATTTGAGCACCGTCCACCTGTGGAATGAGTCATGTATATGAGTCCTGGTCCAACAGTGAGTCCAGGCCCAATCCTGGCTTTGTGTGGTTTTGACGCATGTTTGCATGCAGGAAATGGCTCACGTGATAAAATTTTGCGTGAAGTAAGTTGGTCCTCCGCGCAAGGAAGCTTATGGAAACGTGATCACCAGGGATGGAGAATGCCGTAAAGGCATTTCCAGCACAGCGACCTTTCCATGGAAGCCTTTTCCTCCAGCCTTTTCCCTGGCATGTGAAACTGCGCAGTTTCCACCGAAGGTGGTGTCGTCACTGCGGCACCCGGCATACCGGGTTATCCACCAATGGCGGTCCCTCATCGAGAGAACCTCGCCGCCATGTTTTGCTCGCTGTCGTGGTCCACTAATGCATGTCGATTTGAATTACAAACTCAGCAGCTGGCGAGCTTGCCACTCGCCGTGAAGGCGTGTGGCATGTGGCGTGTGGCACGCTGTGGCATGCCACAGCACGCTCGTGGAGGCGTGCGGGAAAATGGGATGTTAAGTCATGCACGCAAGCTTGCTGTTCGGCTTTTGGTGCTGTTTGTGCGCCGAAATTTGATCTCGACTGGCCCCCGGCATTCGTGCCTAACTGAATGTTCAAGTTTTCAACGACTGCATGTCAGTGGGACGGGTGTGGCCGACGGCCGCATCATTTTCATAGTGACTCATGGTTCCGTGTGCTAGAAAACGATGCTCCAGAGACCAGGCCGTTCAACACCCGCAAACACCACAGCCACCTTGTTTACGTCACTATATATCTGCCAAAGCTCAGAACCCTGGGCGTAGATAGCAGCGCAGCGTGCACAAATGTTTGGAGAGCGATGTGGGTGGTGTTTGCGGTTCCGGTGACGACGCCGCCGATCAGGCCAATCGTCTTCCGCTGTCCGCTGTGAGATTTGTGACTTGGCTTTGCTGGCAAACGAGGCAGGGCCAACAGCCAACGTGTTTATAGCCAGCGGCTATGTAGAGGGAGACCGGCGGACACACATTTTACGGAGACTTCAGGCACCGTTCTGTCCTGGTCAAAACGATGTCGTCTCCTGGCGAAATATTGTGTGCGTGCTCGTGCTCGATTATCGCTGGATGGTTGGCGCCATGATAAGGAGAATGACGATTAAGTGTGTGTTAAGCGTGTTAAAGATTTGTCAAATTTCCCATCGCATGTCGTAAATTGCGTGCCCAGCTACCGACGCTGCACATTTTTTCCTAAAATCACACAATAGTTATAAAACTAGATTCACTCCGTAAGCCACGTCCAGAGTTTGTATGGTCTTTGAGCGAAACGGTTGATTGATAGCTACAGATGCCTTATTGTTACAGAAAATAAAATGGGGGTATTTTGTCAACCCTGCTCGATATAGAAAAAACGCCACGAGCACCTTTTGACTTGAAGGAGTATAATTGAGTGGGAACTATGGCAGTGGTCACGCTAACTCCTACGTTTAATAGTCTGCTTTTGGCATTTTGCCCCTGAAGTGTATCATTGCCTACTTAACTCTGTCACATGAGCATTTCTCGCCTTTCCTTCTCAGTGCATCGGTTATCCTGTGAGCATCAGCACACATCTCTCTATTTCCTTGGAAGGGCATCACAACGTTCGTCCTCCCAACAGAAAAAAGTTGATTCTGCTGCTATTCGTTTGGGCAAGAAAACTGCCATTAACTTGCAACCGTTCGTGTGGTTACGTCGAGAAGGCTTGGGCGTTTCAATCGCTATTCAAACTCTACTCCCCGCACGCCTGTTTCACAGAAGAGGCACGTGCTGGAGCGGTGCATGAACGAGGTCGAGCAGCGGCTGAACGACATCGAACAGACCCAGCCTGACGTGGTCACCAACGGTGACGTCGCAGAGGACCGCCTGCTGGAGGTGCAACGAAGCCTGGATGACGTCAATGCCCAGGCCAGCCGGCTGGCAGAGAACAAGTGAGTGCGGCAGTCGGCGCTGCTGATCTGCTCGCCGGACTCGGATTGTACGCTTGTGGCTTATCGGCTGTGGTAAATGCGATCTGCCTCGGTATATGATGGCGTGATTGCATATGATGCGCGCAGGTTCGACGGGCTGTTAGGGCGTAATTGATGTCGATGATCGACGAGAAAAGATTCGCTCTTTGGTGAAGAATCCGATAAGCACTAGAAATGATTCACGTCAAGTTGACTACAGCCCGGTCGAAGTCATTCAACTCGCGTTAGCTGAACCACGTCTGGCTTTACATCGATGCCTATTTTAGTTGCGAAGTCAACATAGAGACTATGCATCAACGTCTGGCTTTGAATTGCTCCTTGGCTTAATCGCGCACTGTTCAACCCAGCGACTCCCAGCGCTGCGCTGTGACGTCTGACATCTGTCTCAGTTGTTCCCGCCGTTGTTGGGCTTGCAACAGGCGGTCCTCTGACCCCGTCTGATTCCTGTCTAACCGACCCTGACCCCTGACCCCCGTCTGATCCTGTCTAGCCGACCCGTATGACCCCGTATGACCCCGTCTTACCCGGCGCAGTGTGCTACTCTCCCCCGGAGCACGCCGCTCGGCTGGCCGCCACCCAACGGTCGGTGGGCCTCTGACCCCGTTTGACCCGGTCTGACCCGGTCTGACCCGGTGCCTGTGCGGTGCAGCGTGCCACTCTCCCCGGAGCACGCCGCTCGGCTGGCCGCCCTCAACGGCCGGCTGCACTCGGTGGCGTCGACCGTCTCGGCGGCCTACGGCGGGCCGCCGGCGCCGCCCGACCTGGGCCGCTCGGTGGAGCCGCCCTGGGAGCGTTCCCAGACCGAGCACGGCGTGCCGTACTACCTGCACCACGGCGAGCGACGCACCCAGTGGGACCCACCCGCGGCTCGACCAGCTCATGCGCGGCCTGCCGCAGCTCGACGCCGTCCGGTTCTCGGCCGTACAGGTGAGCCGGCAGGGCTGCTGTGAACGGTGGGCTGCCAGTCATGGTCGGTAAGCCGTCCGCTTCTTCCTTGTAGCTTCTTCTTCCCCTTTGTTCGGATATATGGATTGCTGAACGACTGGCTGTGACAAGGAGACCCTCCGCTGTGCCCTCTGGACCTTACACTGGCCAGGGCCTCAACCTCTTTCCGTCAGCAGGAGTCACGTTTTTCTTCTCAGTTAGGGGGGTGGGGGCTCCGGCCACGTACCAACGTGGTCTCCAGCGAAATTCGATCAGCAATCCGATATTCGGCGTATTTTGAGAGTGGGTTACGTTATTTTTCACCGTTCAACCCCCTCAATCGATGCTGACCAAGTCGTGACTTGGGGACTGACCCCCGACCCCATCGTGAGTTGGGGGACGGCAGTACCTCAAATTACCTGCGAAATTACGTCCCTATTCGTCAGAATGATAGGGCTTCAGCTGTCTCACCCGCCTCTGTCCTCCTCATCATGGTAGAGCCGCGGCTGTCTAATCCAGCTTCGTTCCCCTCGCGGCGGCAGGGCATCATCGGCCTCACCCCATCCCTTCCCCGTAGGACGTCCGACTCTCACCTTATCCTCCTCTCTCTCGCGCCAGTTATCTCAGCTCACTCCCGTCTCCCTCAGTACACCAAAACTCTCATCTTATCCTCGTCCCCCTCGGCACGTCAAACATCTTACCTTACCCCCGTCCCCCTCTGCACGTCAGGTTCTCACCTTACTCCGTCTCCTTCGCCACGTCAGGCTCTCACCTTACCCACGTCTCCCTCGGCACGCGAGACTCTCGCATTGCCCCCGGCTTCGCCAGCACGTTAATCGTCTCACCTAACTCCCGTCTCCATTAGCACGTCAGACTCTCACCTTACCCCGTCTCCTTCACGTCAGTTATCTCAGCTTGCCTCTATCTCCCTCAGCACGCCAAACTCTCACCCTTACCCCCGTCTCACTCAGCACGCGAGGCTCTCGCATTTCCCCCATCTTTGTCGGCACATTAATCGTCTCACCTTACCCCGTCTCCATTAGCACGTCAGACTTTCGCCTCACCTCCGTCTTCCTCAGCACGTCATGCATCTCATCTCACCCCGTGCCGCCAGGACCGCGCTGAAGCTGCGGCGCCTGCAACGCGCCCTGCTGCTGCACCGCCTGCCGCTGGCCGAGGCTGCGCAGGCGTTTGAGGCGCAGGCGTGGCGCCTTCCAGCGACCGGTCTCGTGGCCGTGCCCGACGTGGTGGCCGTGCTGGTGGCGCTGTACGGGGGGATGGACCCTCCGGTGACGACGGACCTGGCGCTGAGGATGGACCTCTGTCTCAACTGGCTGCTCAGCGTTTACGACAAGTGAGTAACGGCGGCCCTGGCGCTGAGGAAGGGACCTCTGTCTCAACTGGCTGCTCAGCGTCTACGACAAGTGAGAGTAACGGCGGCCCTGGCGCTGAGGATGGACCTCTGTCTCAACTGGCTGCTCAGTGTTTACGACAAGTGAGTGACGACGGACCTGGCGCTGAGGATGGACCTCTGTCTCAACTGGCTGCTCAGCGTTTACGACAAGTGAGTAACGGCGGCCCTGGCGCTGAGGATAGACCTCTTCTCAGCTGGCTGCTCAGCGTTTACAAATGAGTGACGGCGGACCTGGCGCTGAGGATAGACATCCTCTCAGCTGGCTGCTCAGCGTTTACAAGTGAGTGACGGCGAACCTGGCGCTGAGGATGGACCTCTGTCCCAACTGGCTGCTCAGCATTTACAAGTGAGTAACGGCGGCCCTGGCGCTGAGGATGGACCTCTGTCTCAACTGGCTGCTCAGCGTTTACGACAAGTGAGTGACGGCGGACCTGGCGCTGAGGATGGACCTCTGTCTCAACTGGCTGCTCAGCGTTTACGACAAGTGAGTGACGACGGACCTGGCGCTGAGGATAGACCTCCTCTCAGCTGGCTGCTCAGCGTTACAAATGAGTGACGGCGGACCTGGCGCTGAGAATAGACCTCCTCCTCAGCTGGCTGCTTAGCGTTTACAAGTGAGAATCGGAACTGCCTCGACTGCCGCGCGGTGACTACGACGTGCGAGGATACGCAGTGGGGTGAGCGAGGCATCGCTTGGTTTGCTGCCCCTTCGCTCAAATGATGATGCCTAATGTAGTGTGCTGTTCGGAGTGAGTTGTATCATGCGAGCTGGAATCGTGGGCATGCAATTGACTTTGCATCTGGCGTGCAAATGTCAAAAAGAACCACGGAATATTGTGCACTATCAAGGCACTTGGCACGTTAACTCCTTAGTCCGCTGTATTTCAGCCCCGCTGTGATGTCATGCGTGGTTTTCTGGCATCCAGTATGACATCACACCTTCGTTGCAGCCGTCGGACTGGTCGCATTCCTGTCAGCTCCTTTAAACTGGCCATCATCACCCTCTGCAAGGCACATCTGGAGGAGAAATATCGCTGTGAGTACGGAGTTCCGACGCGAAATGGAAGTGAGGTCAAACGCTGCGGCCGCTCGCATCGTGCACCACACATACAGAGCTAAGTGCTCATTATTCATGGTCGATGTGCACCGTTGAGCCGGGTCAGATGTCGGCGTAGGCCGTAAGTAGTATTTGCAGTCGACGGACCAGCTAGGCGTACCGCTTCCGAGCGGAATGTCTGGTCCCAGGGAGATCAGGTTGGGTCACCAGAGGGAATGAACACCATCCATCGAGCAGGCTCAGCGGTACACCCCGTGCGTATTCTGCTGTCTACATGTGGATATCGGTGTAGGGCTTAAAGGAATGTCCCACATTTGAAGATATTTAGGCAGGTATCAGATGAGATGGAAAGGGCTCACGTATAATTAATGTCAGAATCGATGCCAAACTGACACTGTAAGTGCAGCATTGCCAGTGCAGCGGACGGGCCGACCCACTTATAGGACTGTATTCGCCGCAAGGTGGCTTGTTAATTTAGGTGTGTGTCAAGATGTCGATCTTTATGTGCACGTGTTTTGGCGCTTTGTCGTGGTGCTCTTTCATATTTTTCCGTGATGGCATGTTTTTTTAGGCGCATTTGCATTCTCGGTGGCGGCGCTTTTCATGCTGATTTGATTCCCAACATCAAGTTAGTCATAACTGGTAGTTACTACTCTGATGCCTGTATTATGTATTAAAAACATGCCATTCGTGACAGAGACTCGCGTTCAAGACGTGAAGCTAGTTGACAGCTAATTGCTGTCCGCTGACGAGACGATGCGTGCTGGCGTACTTCAGACACGAATAAGTTAATGGCCATATCTTTCTGGACCTTGAACAACAATATGGCCTTGGAGAAGGAAGTTTTTGTGGTGCTTTGATGACGGCATGCATCTTTGGGCAACTTCGAATTAGGCGGCGTGAAATAATCTGCACATGTTTGCGTGCACCTAGCTTACAGGCGACAGGATGCACAGTCTTACAAAGGGCATGACTGTGAACTGCAGTGAATGACCTTGAAAAGTTGATCAATAGCAGCTGCAAGGGGTCGAGGACTTCTCGGGTCAGTAAACGATCAGAGGAATGAACCGGAAAGCCCACGGAAGACTGTGCGGGAGGTGTCCCGGGGATACGCCTGGCTGCGCACAAGAGGGAAAGGATCGGATCAAGCGATGCGGATGATGTCTCGGTGTGTGACTGTGTACCAAAAGATCAAAACAGTATACTGCAATACGATAGAACAAACGCGTTTTCATGCCTGTCCAGTTTCACCACTATCACTCGTTAGAAGGGGCCCTGTGCACAAAGCCATCGCTGGTCCGGCTCCGCCAGCGACAGACTTTCACCTGGTGCTCCCTCCTCCCAGACATGTTCCAGTTGGGCGCCGACAACCGACAGCGGCTGAACGAGAAGCAGCTGGGTCGGCTACTGAGCCAACTGCTACAGCTACCTGGTCAGATGGGCGAGGAGGTCGCCTTCGGCCCCGCGGCCGTGCAACCGTCTGTCACCAGCTGCTTCCGCGCCGCCGCCGCAGCCGCCGCGGCCGACGGTGACGAAGAGGACGAAAAGGAGGGGGAGCAGGAAGAAACGACCTTGTGCGAAGCTGAGGTCCTGGACTGGCTGCGCGCCGAGCCGCAGAGCCTGGTGTGGCTGCCGGTGCTGCACCGGGTGGCGGGCGCCGAGAAGTCCCGACATCATGCCCGCTGCAATGGCTGCAAGGAGTACCCCATCGTCGGTTTCAGGTTCGAGCCGGCAGAGGCAGCGTGCATGTCTGAAAGCATGCGTAGTGCGACACGGAGGTTTACATTACTTGAGTGTTGGTGATTTTTTCCCAGTGCCCGACTTGCAAAGGGCGTTACAGAAATACACGTAAAAAAGTAAGGTAAATTGCGTTGTCACATGCTTCTTTGTAGTGGAAATGGTCCGCGTTCTGAAAGTAAGCATTCTATAAAATTTCCGTGAGCTTGGTTGGGTATCGAACCGAAACCAAAAGTTTGGTGACCAATCTGCTCATTTCTTTTGGTGCTTTTACGTGTTTTTCAATTCCATATCTTGCATCGAATATGTGTTCGCATTATATCGGGTTTTAATGTGCTAGGTATCAAAATGTGATGCGGTGTTGAGGATGTTAGGGAGCGTATTATTAAGTGGCATATGTCAGCTTTACAGCTTAAAAGTTGTTAAACGCCGTGTGAGGGCTGCATTGCTTCCTTGTAACTAGGACTGTCTTGCTCGTAATTATGGTTTTATGAAACCAGTCACGCGCATCACGCAGTTTCCAATCCTCTTGAGTTGATCCAGTTGTACCTGCGTTACAGATACCGGTGTCTGAAATGCTTCAACTTCGATATGTGTCAGCAATGCTTCTTCACCGGACGTGTCGCCAAAAGTCACAAACTCAGTCATCCCATGCACGAATATTGCACAGAGGTAAGCGAACATCAGCTGAGATGCTCTGGAGGGAAGAAATATAGTCTTAAATAGCCTGCGATGCATGCATTGGACCAGATCACTACCTCCCTCGGCGAAAGAGCCTCAGCACACGCTCCGAGTTGCGTGCCGCCAATTTGAATAAGCTCATTTTATACAACTGTTTTACTTCCCCACCCCTCTGTGAACCATGTTCGTCAAAGCTGAACGGCAATGCGGGATGAGTTGTAAAGGGCGACGCTGAGCACATGATTGTTGCACAAGCATTTCTCAAGCTGATCATCAAGCTGAGTGGTGGTTGGCTCATAAGTCATTTTCTATTCGGGAATGTCATGTGCCATTGATGCTGCGTGATTGGTCTTGCACCACGCTGTTTCGCAAACAAAACTTTGTTTTTGCTATTGCTGTCTTTTCGGGATTCGCGTTGGGCCTTGTTACCGTTATGGCTGTGTTCCAGAGTTCGTCAAGCGATGACATCAAGGACTTCACCAGGTCGATACGAAACCGGTTTCAAGTCGAAGCACTACTTCCGCAAGCATACCAAGCTGGGCTACCTCCCTGTCCAGCCCATGGCTGAGGTATTGGCCAATAAATCGTCCGGTTCGTTGTCCCTAAACATCGATGTTTTAGCGGTGCCGGCATCAGTGCTGCCGTTACGAAGCACAGGAGCTATACCTTGGTTTCGGCCTCATGGACCTGCGCCACATCATTCAGGGCTGCTGGGGTTCGGTCTGCTGTTTTAATATTTCCCTTATACAGTTTCCCTTTCAACTATAATCAGTTCGTCTCTGCTAGAATAGTTCGATATGGCCAACGACTTCTCTAAGCGTCATGTTCAACAACACGCCTTCGTGCCATGTTTTGCTGGTTGTTCATTTCCAAAACACATCATGACGTTCCCCTGTCACCCTTTCCCTTTCAACGAAACTCAGTTCGTTTCTGCCAGAATCGATTGATATACCCGACTTTTCGAAGCATCATGTCGAACAATACGTATGCATGTCCTGTTTTGCCCGGCCGTTCGCTTCCAAACACATTACGACCTCGTAGTTACGAGCGCTGTCGTCCGTTGAATTCCGTCCTAAGCGGTCAAGTCATTTTAAGTAAGTTATTTTAAACAACGCGTCTTCATGTCATGTTTTTGCGGTCGTTCATTTCCAAACACATCATGGCCTGGTAGTTATGAGCGCCGTTGTTTGCCGAATGCCGTGACGTCACACGGTTGTGTCGTCTCAGGGCGTCACTTTGGCCGCCTCCGCCGATCATCTGCGCACCTGCTCACTGGACCAGGGCGCGCGCACGAACGGACACGCAACCTCCGAAGTGGACGCTCACAGCTTCTCCAGTCCGGAGAGGTACGTTTCGTGCTGGGTCGGGCGATGCGGCGGTCCGGGCAGTCTGAAACATGATTGGGGTTGTGCTGTTTGAGGACTCAACTGCATGGGGATTTAACACGTTTGATAGACTAGTGTATCATG